CAAAAATGGAGCTAAAAGTCCTACATTTTCTCACAAAAATTAGGTGGAAACGTGACTCTCAGTTACTGCTAATGTTGGATGTAAATAAGCAACTTTTTTTTCTGTTTTTAATATAAACTTAAAGGGTTTCATTGTTGTATTTACAGCTTGTTTTGCTTCTCCAAAATGGCCAAAAAAAAGTTAATACAGACTACTGTAAATTCAGTTACTAGTTTATATGCTGCGGACCAGTTTATCTGTGGAACAACTTGTGAATGTGTATAATTATCAACAATTAGCAGCTAAAGAGTCAAATACGTCCCTGAGAAGTTGGTAGAGAACAAAAGCAGAGCTAAAAGTTCTAATTTTTGGTGCATGGTTGGAAACTTAACTGAAAATGAATGCTAATGATGCAACACATCTGCTGGATGTAAACAAACAACTTTTTCACCTTTTGCGTTATCAAATTTAAAGGTTTCATTGTTGTGTTTACAACTTGTTTTTCTTCCACAAAGTGACACCCAAAAAAATCAGTTAATATAATTTAGACGAGTTTAAATTCAGTTACTAGCTTATAATGCTAGTGATCGGCTCATTTGTTATATAACTTGTGAATATATACATCAATAATGATACCATTTAGCAGCTGAAGAGATAAATAACAAAACAAAACCTGAGCTAAAAGTCCTTGGTTTTCTCACAAAAATGAGATAAACTCAAAATAAATGCTGTTGTTGCGACATATAGCAACTTTTAGCTGTTTGCAAATGGTTTCATTGTTGTGTTTACAGCTTCTTTTGTTTCCCCAAATTGGCCAAAAAAATCTATCAATGTAGATCAGACTGCGTCACTAGCTTATATGCTGCTGATCAGCTCATCTGTGTAACTTGCACATTTAAATCTGAGACCGAAAACCACTGTATTCCTCTTGAAAAACAAGTTGTGCAGGTGTGACGCAGACGTCTTCCAATTTGTGATGCGCTGCTTGACCCACAAGTTTTTTAGTCGCGAAGAGGCATTAATTCAAACAGTCGCTGCTCAAACCACTAGAGTCCATTTGTCGACCGGCTCGTTTACAGTGCAGGTCCGTTATAGAGCAGATATGGTCTGAAAACAGCATTTTGTTTCTGAGTCGGGCTTTGACCGGCGAGATGTAACCATGGATACAGTGCAGTAAATCTCTCCAGAGCAATAAGCCTGAGCTCTGTGTCTCTAGATTGCTGCCGTGCATCATCATAAAATCAGAGCCAGTCAAAACTAGCGTGATGCTTAAGGGAACGAGACAGACAAGATCCTTCATTGTGTTGTGAAAAAAAAACCCACGTCTGGAGTCGTTCGCTTGAATTTATTTACAAGAACAAATGAAAGATGCGAGTTTCAGGGACGTAAAGAAACATAAAGAGGTGAAGCCTGATTACTCACTTCACCCGCTGACCTGGATTTTGTCTGAGTGGCCATTCCACCTCCATCGATGGACTTTTACTGCCGTTTTTGTTCGTGGAAAGTTAAAGTCATTTACGTCCCTGCTTGGATGCGACATAAAACTGAATTGCCTCTGCTGCCCGAGGCTTGTGTTGACTCAATTAAAGCTGTTTTATTGGAGTGTTTTCCTGGCATTGTAAGGGGGGAAAAAAACAACCAAAAAAAACGGGCCATATTCTGGGCAAATATCCAAAAATAATTCTTGAAAGGTAGCGAGGCTGTAAAAGCCGGCAGTGTACATGAAGCAAATCAATTGTGGCATGCCAGGCATTTGGATAATGAGGCGTATCCTGGTGAAAAAGAATCACTTAAAATATGTCACGCACATACCATTGTTGTACGAGAACATAGATTGCCAACGAAAAAAAAAAATCAAACGCTCATAATCTAGAAGGTATTTTGTGTGTGTGTGTGGAAAGTGTGTTTCCAGTCTGAATTATTTCCCTCCCAGGCAGGTCAGTCTGCCTCCTGCTGCCTCAACCAGAACCTTTACGATCCCGTCTGCTGCACACACACAGATTGTTTAAGAGTTCCTCTGCCTTCAGCTTCACCTTTTCCTAAAGCACACTCTTGGAAAATGTTATCTTGCGCTGTAGAAACTAGAAAACTACAATGCGCTGGACGAATCTGCGTCATGAAGTCCAGGCCTGTGTGTGCTCGCTGTGGCCGTACAAAGCGCCTTCTTTTTTTTTCTTTTTTTTTTTATTCCTCCTGCCACAGCTGACTCACCACTGGAAAAATTGAACTTCCTGTGTCGGTCCTAAAGGCTCTTTGAAGAGGATGTGCTCGCTTTAAGTTCTTCTTAGGCAACCGTCTGCTCTGTCGGTTCAGTTCTTTTTGGTCAGGTTTGATCAGTAAGATGCCTTTTTTTTCTTTGCATACAAAGTTTTATGGTTTTTCTGTTACTATTTACTGAAAAACTTTGAATTAGTGTGACTACTTGCTGGAAAATGGTCAGTTTTAGTTAGAAATAAGGCACGAGTTTCAAAGTTTTAAAAGAATGATTAATGGAAATATGTGTGTGTACAATTAGTTTGCATGCTGTCTGCTTTTTCTGTGTTTTAAGATGGAAAGATCAGCTTGAAAATACAAATGTTTGGCTTTTTTTAAAACACTCAACACATGAAAACAAGTTAGATTTTTATATTTTCTATTATTCAAGACAAAATCTAAATCATGGGCACCTATTACCATACTTAATAGTATACCAGAAAGAAAAAAATCGATATATGCAATCCAGTATGCCAGAAATACCAGGATTTTGCACCCACAATCCTTTGCACAGCTATGTCACGGTGTCGCATGAGTATAAACAAGCTGGAGGTTCAAAGAGTGCACAAACAGATGACAGCTTGTTTTGCACCGTAGACTGCAACTGTCAGAGTTTTAGGTGTCGCTGTTACGCTGAATTAATGTCCCGGTTGTATTCAAACTGCATGAAACAGTGCATACTTGCTGCACTACGCACTTCAAGTAAAAAAGCAAAAGCATGCGATTTGGAACGCAACCCGTGTTTCACATGTTTTATAGACTTTGGTGTCGGCTTGATTTATGCTCCCAGTGGCATTTCTGAGCATTCCTCCACGCTCAGCGACTCTTCCTTGACTCTCTGCAGCCACCAGAGCTTTAACTCGCTCAACATGTTTGGAGCGGCGCGGTGATATACAATGACAAGAGTGTTTGTGAATGTCAGCACATCCAGTCCCTTCATTACCCCTTGTGTTTCACCCCCCGGTTTGTTTGCTCCGTCGTGGCGCAGCACCCTTAAAGGGTCCTTTTATTTCCTTGGCCACGGTATTATTTAGCATTCTGTGTATGCTTGCATGTGGAGTCCATCCCACTGTCCCAAAGTGAGATCCAAGAGCTGCTCAGTGCGCTTCACGGCTTAAACCTAAACACAACATCTGTAGCGCTGCTTCTGCTTCGTCTATGAGACTGTTTTACTCCAAGTAATTCCAAATCAATCTCTGTTCTCTCCAGGTACGCCCAGCCATGATCGAGGACAAGGGTCACCGTGTGACCGACTACTTTGTGGTGGCCGGGCTGACAGACAAGTCCACGCCCCTCGAGCAGGACCTGTCGGAGACCAAGTCCAGCGGGCCCAAAGCTCCCATCACCGACCTGGCCGTCATTAACAGGTCGGCAGGAGAAACGGTGCCCGAGGGCTTCACCTGCATCGACAGCACCTACAGCGGCCAGCCGGCAAACCTTAATCACGGCAGTCTTAAGAGCCCCGAGCTGTTCCTGTGCTACAAGAGGGGTCGGGGGAAGCCTCCGCTCATTGACATCGGGTGAGTCAGCCACTTATTTCCGTCTGTGAGCTGCAAAGTGGAATGTTCTCATGCCTGCAGCAGCAAAAAGGCAGATTCTGCTGGTTTCATTTGTTTGGAAATGCTTCAGATATGCCTTGCATACTTTGATAAGCTGGATTGGAAAACAAATGATAGAAGTGCTGGTTTTATTACAAACACGCAAAGGCTGATGTGTATTTATATAAGAGATTTATACACGTGTCACAACGTGGGACCAACTCTTCCGGTCCTGGTTCCCTACTTTGCATCCAAAACAAACCTGGTGTGCCTTTATTTGCCCCTGCAGGTGTACTCCGCTTTTGTGATGCAAAGGTTAGCTTGTCACAGGAAGTTATCTTCATTGTTAAAAGAGTTTCGAGGCGTCTCTGCTTCTTGAATTTCAAAAAATATGAGACCATTCCATAGAAATATCAGCCGCTGACAGTTGTACAGTTTTTACAAGCTGCTCCATGTGACTTTAGACCAAAGATCAACGTGTGCTCATGAAATGTCCCTACTTTCATTTTGTCCACTTCCAAGACCTGCAAATACGTCCAACAGAGCATGTTCTGTCAAAACTCTGACCAGGGTGAATGCATTCTAATGTGCAGACAGTATTTTGAAAAGCTCAGAGACAAACATTTCCTTCAGTTAAGACTCGTTCTCTCATTAATTTGTCTTGTTTGGGTCATTTTGTGCCCTGCTTATGCTGTTTTGTGTCTCGTTTTTGTCAGTTTGTGTTGCGTTTGCATTGTTTTAAGTCTTGTTTTGGCCTTCTGTGTCTCCATTTTGTCACGTAGCGTCTCGTTTGTGCAGTTTTACTTCTTGTTTTTGTAATTTTGTGTCTCGTTTTTGTCACGTTTTGCTTTGTTGTGTGTCTTTGTTTTTCTTTAGTTTGTTGTTTGTTTGTGACATGTTGTGCACTTTCTGTGTTGTTTTGCTTGAGACAAACATTTCAATCAGCACTTTTCAGTTAATTTTTCTGTATTAGTGAGCCAAATTAGGTCAAGCTTCACTTCTTTTATTCTGGAAGCACTTCACTTGAAAACTAGAGTTTGGAAGCTTCACTTATCAGAAACCGAAACTGGGCTTCAGTAACTTTAGAACCTACTGAATGATAACATCCAGTGTTTCTTTAAAAATCCCACCAGTTCCCAACAGATATTAGATGAAACCCAGTTTGTCCTGAATCCTCAGAGTCATCCTACAGAGCAACAAAGACACTTACTTCATCCTGGGATTATAATTCACTCATTCATACTCGTGTTTCCTGTTGTAATTCAGATAAACAGAGCCGGTTGTGCTATTAACTGGCTTAGCCTGTAAACTGGAGCTTCTTCAAAGTTAGACACTGAGTTAACTTGAGTCAGTCATGCAGTTAATGTGGAATCTGACTGTATTTTAGGTCGTAAACTTAATGTTTTCCTGCTGTTAGATTCAGATTGTGGGTGTGCTATTGTGATGGAAGCAGGTTTGGACACGTTATAAGCTTTAAAGATGGAAGAAAAAGATCATTAATTCCAAATATTGGTCTCCAAAGTGTCCACTGTTTGAATGTCCCCTGAAATGCATTAATAAAATTACGAAATTGTCACTTAAGCAGCTTTAAATTAGTTGTTTTTTTGAATTTCATGTGAACAAATATCATCATATGATCGTGAGGAAAGCTGCAAACCACTGAACTGGACTGCATTGTTTAAATGTTTTAGATATGGCACGTCGACACATTTTTTTTTTTTTGCTCAGAGATGGAAGGAAGTCGGTGTACTGACATTCGCTTGGCCTGATTTCGTCACCTCTCAGCCACACCTCCCTGCTCCTGTCTGTTGGTGGGATTTTCCTGCTTCCTTCTATTATCTTATAAAAGGGAACTCCGTGATGATTTACCTGTCGTGTAAACCTGAAGCTGCTCCGACCTAAACACAGGGGAACCAGAATCATAAGCTCATCGCCAACGCTTTGTGTCTGTTAACCAGCGTCACATGCAGAAGAGCTTCACTGAAAACAATGACGCAACAGTGTTGAACCCACACACCTAAGTCTTTGTCTAAAGCCTGCTTTATGCTTCCCGCTAGCAAACTGGAGTTTCCAGTTTCTTGAGACTCTCTCTGACGGATTGGCCTCCGCAAAGGCTTCATCAGTTAAGATAAACAGACTGCATTCCACTTGTCGTGTCGTGAATTTGCTTCCTTTCATGCGTCATCGATGAGATTCCCTCCTGCTAGTTTTAGGCTGCAGAGCTAACGAATGGGCCGCAGCTGCACCGAGCGTTAGCACAAGATTGTATGTCGAGTCATGTTTCCGTTCAGCGATTGCGCAATCCGGCTTAGCATGCAAATAGACGTATAGGGTGGAAAAAAATAGAAGCAGCCTCACATAGCTGCGTAGCTACTTTACGGTTTGTTGTTCAGCCTCCTCGTTAGCTGCAGCGCTTATTGGAACAGTGGCTGGAGTCTTCTCTTCTGTATCGCAGCAAAGAGAGATAATATAAAGAGACTCCTCATGTAAAATTCATGACTTTGTGGTCTGTTATTAAGCAACACGACGGGATGATTGTTTTAATAAAAACACCACAAGTAGATGTATTCACTTCCTGTTTGGTTTGGTAGAAGATGAGTAAACACTTTTAGTTTTCCTCCCCCATCAGCTGACAGCTCTTAAACCATTTTTATTCCACTTAAAGAATCAATTCAAATCAAATTGTGAATCATTTATTGTTCCTTCTGCCGTCAGTGAGGCTTTTCCCAGCCCGAGGCTCTGGAGCGACACAACTCGCCGTGCCCATTAGGACGCTGTGTGTTGTTTTTTTTGTTGTTGTTGTTGTTTCCTAACTGAGAATTTCTTGGCAAACTCATCTCCTGGCCTCTTTATGTTTGTCCTGCGCTCCTTTCAGAATAAATGGAGTGTTTCGGGACAATTATATCTGCAACGGCCGCCTTGAAAGCCTGCGCAGGATTTCAAAATATGTGTTTTAGTCTCAGTTTGAAAAAGGCAGCAGCGGTTAGAGCTTGTTTGGCCTCACACATGGCTTTGTCCAGATGTAAAGGGAGGACACGGAGCCCTGCAAATAAATACATAAATACAAATCCAGCACAGCGGGGCACTGATTACTGTCTGGACTGCAACTTTTTTCGACATTCCTCAGCAGGACAAGCATGGAGGCAGAACCGGGTAGCTGTAAAGTCTGTCGCTACAGTCAAAGTGTTTGTTTTGCACTGGGCTGGAGATGAGAATCGCTTTAATGTCTGGGATTTGAGTGAGTCAGCCGGTAAATGAGTCTGAATCATGCCGCCCATTGAAGACACTCGCTCACTGACTGAGGCCTTAATGGGAAGCTTTGAGAAGAAAGTCAGCGGTGTCGATTATCTCCACCAGAGAGCAAGTTGCTCATCTTTTTTTATCGTCTCTCAAAGTCCACTGTTGTCCCAAATCTGTTTTATACTTACATTTCGCCACGTTGTTGTGAATTTCTGCAAATCTTGAGAACCTCAAGGAACATTTTCTTGCATTTTAAGCATCATAGGAGCATTAACTTTACTGAAAGTTAGTCGAGTTTGTCTTTTTTCTGTGTGTATCGTTCAAGGAGCTTCAGTAGAAATGAACTGGAAGAGAAGTTCAGGTGATTTCTACTGAAGCTCGTAGGATTAGCATGACCTGGATGACTAAATGTGTGTGATGCTTTCTCACTACCTGAATGACTTAAATCTGCGTTACTTGATATTATTATAGAAACTCTACATCATATGACGTCTTGCATTTCAAAGGGGGACTTGTAGCGAGGGAAAGCAATGACTCCACATGCTATAGATGTTTTACTGTGGACAGTTTACATTGTTTTATATGCTTTTGTAAACACCTGTAGCCTGCAGTTCAGCCGAAAAGCCTCAGTTTTAATCACGACTGTTAGTCACAGCTGTGCCAGTCACGGCTTTCACTTACGCAGTGAAGCACAGAATTTTTATTTATTCATTAACAGCATGTGTTTGAGTCAAATTGTTTATTTTTGGTGGATTTTATTTTAGTTGAACATGTCGAATTAAGCAATTTTGTCGACATATCACAGATTAAAGCTAAAGCTCACCGGTTAGTTTGTGGGTTCAGAGGGTTAACTTACATCTTGTGAGACGTAGAGAAGTTTTTCTTTTAGATTCCTGGTTGTTTATTATCATCAGAGCTCATTCCTTGATGTTTTGAACAAACTGTATGGTTTTCATTTTTCTGCTGCATGACATAAATCATCATTGCTTTATTGAAGTTCCTCTATTTCCTGCGTCCAGTCAGGAAACATAACTCGGTGCATAGCTGATGGAAATATAAACTAGACAGGAGTCAGACAGTCATGAATTTGTCCTGCTGGTAATTCTTGTCTAGAAGCCTTAACTTCAGTCTGTTCAGCTCATTACTCAGTAAACCTGTGGAGGGAACCTTCACCATGAGAGAAAGTCACCTACCAAAGAGATCCACAGTTTGTTTATGAGCTTCTCTATTCAGCTGCCTGTCACAGATTCCTCACGTCTCCTTCTGTTTTTGCACTGTAAACTATTACGTCATTAGAATGCAAGTTATTTTCCTTTTGGCAGTGAAGCTTGTTTAAAAAATGGAATCCATACTGGCAGAGTGATTCCAGGACAGCACTGTCTGAGCCGCTTCACTCACACTTTAGCTGTTCCTCTGTACTCGTCATGAGGGCTTCATGTCCTAGCAGGTTCCAGTCTGACATATTCGTTATCTGTGGTGTCCCTCAGGGTGCTGTACGAGGGTAAGGAGCGTCTGATCCAGGGCTGCGAGGTCATCCAGGCCACGCCGTACGGCCGATGCGCCAATGTCAACAACAGCTCCGCCACGTCACAGCGCATCTTCATCACCTTCCGCCGGGCGCCGCCTGTCCAGCCTCAGAACTCGCTGGCGGTGACGGACATCTGCGTCATCGTCACCAGCAAGGGCGAGACGCCACCGCACACCTTCTGCAAGGTGGACAAGAACCTCAACTGTGGCATGGTAGGTCTGAGTTTTAGTGCTTTAGTCAGCTCTAAAAGCACGAGTCTAACCTTGTGGTAAATCTTTCAGTGGGGCTCCAGTGTGTTCCTGTGCTACAAGAAATCCGTATCTTCAGCAAATTCCATCAGCTACAAAGCCGGTGAGTAACAGTCGGAAACTTTTTCTGGTGTTTTTGCTCAAAATGTCACCACATCCTAAGAAGCCATTTGTTCCCCTGAGCAGCGTTTACGCCGTCTGCCTTTGTGCCGCTGGAATCATTTTCATTCTGCCATTATTTAATTCCATTATCTGCACTTGATTCGTCTGCTTTTATCTCCGCTGCCTATGAGGTGAATCGTATTTGATGGCTCATTTTCTGCAATTAGCCTTTCTGGTGCCAGAATTTCTTGCAAGAGCGATTACATTAGTGAATATATTCTTCAAATTGCAGGAAATCCTTTTATCAGAAACAGACGAAAGCTTGAAGGACAACATTCACTGATAGTTAAGTTCTTTGTTTTGATCTGACACTGCACAGAAATAAAAACGCATCAGAATCAAAGGTGGGGCAAATTATTGACACATCCCAGGCTGCGTCTTTAAAAAAATAATTTTGCACTTACCACTTATTATGTGGCATTATAAATAACTTTTTGTGTTTTTTTCCTATAAAAAAGAGCAATAAAATCATGTAAACAAACTGCGATTTAACAGGTTAAAATTGTGAAAATTAATTAGTATTTAGTCGTCATGATGAGGAGCGATCAAACTCAGTGAAAGAGGAAAATAAGATAAATATTTAATATTTTATGACTTTTTTTGTTTTTGTTTTTTGACACTTAAGGTCCTAAGTGTGCATTTTTTTTTTGTTTGTTTGCTTAATAAATCTGACGCGGCATCAATATTGTTGCTAATTATTGACACATGATTATCAGAGAAGTTGTTTTTCATTTACCACTTATTATATGGAAAAAAATATAAATTTTGTGTGTTTCTTTCCTTTAAAAAATTACAGCGACATCATGTAAACAAACTGGCATTTAAAGGGTTAAAATCCTGAAACCTAATCGGTATTTAGTATTATTGTCAGGTTCAAAGACCTGAAAGTGAAAATAAGATAACAGCCTCAGTGTAGCTTTTTAAAATTGGCATCTGATTGCTAAAATGGTAAAATACCACCAGAGAACTGCAAGTTATTGTTGTCATAATAAGATCATGTGATTGAGGGTCTTATTACATACAGCATGTTTGTCTCAATCCTACAAATATTTATCTGATAACATTTTTGTGAAATGGAATGAGCAAAACAAAGATAATAAGTTTAGAGAGAAAAAAAACAGCAAATGTATTAGATCATAAATTAGGGCTTATCTCAGGCTTATTTGTTACAATTGGACATCATTATTAGATATTACTTGACACTGATGAGAGACTATTTTTATATAGAAAAAGATACAGCGAGTAGTTGAAGTTAAAGATGTACGTCTGAGATTGAGGAGCCAATTTAACTAAATCAGAAAACAGTACGAAAAATAAACACATTAAAGTCTAGGTCATGAAATGGAAAGTAGAAAGGAAAATTCTGATGTTCTAATTCACGATTATGAGATGGTTAGCCGTTATATATATATAACATATTCAACTAATGTGTTCGAGGCAGGAATGGTCTTCCATACAGGATAATAATTGCATGTCTCCAGCTCTGTTATGTGATGTGACGCACCGATAACGATATTGTTGCTTCGTTTGTTGTCACAATCAGCCTCGTTGATGCTTTTGACGCCTTCAGCGTGCGTCTGTGATCTCGCTGTCGATGCTAATCGGTTCCTACAGCTGGCATTTCTTGAACTGTCGTGTGACATTTTCACCGACTTCCTTGACAGCTCGGCCTTTGGAACAGTTCCGTTGTGCAACTCGCGTTGCCGCCAGGGTTCATGTGAATGTGTGTACGCAAGACACACATGCCGGCTTTATCTTGCGCTCGGCCTTTTTCCTGTGAGACGGCTGTTTAGTCATCTTGGACAACTGTGCTTCCTGCCACACCCATAATTTCTGTGTCTGCAGGCCTGTTTGGGTATGAGCACGCTGACATGAGAGTGTGTGTGAATGACATCTCAGCAAATATCAGGTTTTACTGAGGAATGGAAGCGTTTTGTTGTGAAAAGGAAACCAGAGTGTACAGTTTCATGACTATAAATTCATCAGAACTGAGCTGAGAAGTTTGAGGTCTAAACACCGTCTCATAAAGTTTTGTGTTTACGCTACGTTACTGCATCATTTATGGGGCTATAACTCATCATTCATGTGCTCTGCTCTGCTCCAGGTCTAATCTTTCGCTACCCAGAAGACGACTACGAGTCTTTTCCTCTGTCCGAGTCCGTTCCTCTCTTCTGTTTGCCGATGGGTGCCAAGATCGAGTGCTGGGCGCCGAACACTCGCGACCCTCTGCCCGTCTTCTCCACGTTTGTCTTAACCATCTCTTCTGGTGAAAAGGTGAGACGCAGCGAGCTGTCATAGATAAAAAAAATTAAACGTGGGCTTCATTGAGGTAAAAATATTAAAAGAGGTGTGTTATTTTCGTCGTGACAATCTGTGGAGCAAAGTTTGAAGTGCCACAATTTGAGAAATAAAGTAGCTAGAGTCCTGAGAGGTTGTCGGCTCATTGATATGCACATCTGGTCTTCAGTGGTCCAGCCCTGCTTTGATAGAATAAAGCAAACCAGCTATATGATGGAGTTGTACAACAGCTGAGACCAAAAGTTTAACATGTTTTCCAGACAAATACGAGAAGATGAGTTGAGGTGGAGCGACCCTGCAGCTAAAACATGATGAAGGAAGAACGGCTGCATGATTAATCAAACGTTTATCACAATCTCGATTTTTTGCTTCCATACGTGAGCTGTGATAGATTTTGAATGCTCATAAAAAACTAATAGAAAACAGGCCATATAGATGAAAATCACTGGATTTCTACTTGCTTAAAGCGCCTCATTTACCTCTTTTCAGACTAACTTTTGCTGTCTGAGGTGCCAGTAGCTCAGTGGGGAGACTAGAGGCTTCTCTGTGCACAGCCACCTAGCTAGCTAGCTATCATAGCCTACATGTGAGGGAGCAGTTGTAGTGTCTTTCAGCAAGTTAGGCATTTTAGGGTGAGCTTTATTTAATGTTTTGCCTCTTAAGATTTGCACTGAATTCAGGTGAAGAAGCTTAAGTCTTATTTTGATGCAAATATTCGTACATTTGCAGGACTGTAAATATAAAAAACGTAAAGTGCAATACGTATATTTTGTGGCTAAATTCAGTGAATCCTGATCTTGATATTGATTACATTAATAGTAACTTTGGCCGTCATCGTGCAGCCCAGAATGACTCATTGTTTGAACTGGTTAGGAAACCCAAAACCTCCAATGTTTACGTTCTACGTGTCCTTCTCTGGTGCCAGGTTTATGGATCAGCCATCCAGTTCTACGAGCCATATTCAGTGGACCTGCTGAGCGAGAAGCAGAAGATCCAGCTGGGTCTGCTCACCACGGTGGAGAAGAAGATGATCCCCAACCGGCCCGTAAACACCAACAAATGCATCTGTCTGCTCTCCCGCTGGCCCTTCTTCGAGTCCTTCCGCAAGTTCCTGATGTTCCTCTACAAGCTGTCCGTCTCTGGGCCGCACCCGCTGCCCATCGAAAAGTAGGAATCCGCCGTCGGTGGGCTGTTTATTTTAAAAAGGTGGCATCCGGCTACAGCTTTATTTACTTGTGTTTTTGTGTTTTCTTTTAACAGGCACATCTCGCACTTCATGCACAATGTGTCGTTTCCTTCCCCTCAGAGACCCAGAATCTTGGTCCAGGTGAGAATTTGTCTTCACAATGTTTTAAAATCCAAAAAAGAAGGTTTTACTTGTAGGTTTTCAGTTTCTTCAATGATCAGGGCTCTTTAGGGTTCATACCCCCTGTTACATGACTTTATGTTCTTCTCTAGGCTGGAGATCATTTTTTATAAGTCAGGATGTATGTTTAGGGATGTTGTCTCAAGCATCAAGCATCAGGGAGGCATCAGATTCCAAATCCATCCTGCAGAAGTTCCCAACTCCATTTCCAAACAAGCAAAGGAACCCCCCAATGCATCACAGTTTCCCACATACACTCACCCTCATAATGCTTTACAGCTCTTGTGCAAAGAAACTGCTCTCTGCTCGAACCAAATATCTCAAATCTGGACTGTTTTGCACCTTTGTTCATTTTCTGCACCCCTCGTCTTGTGTTTTCAGTCCTCCATAAAGACCACTTCTCATAGACATCGATTTCGAGGGAACATTAGCTTAATGTGTCTTTCATCTGCTGCAGTCGCATTCCTTGTTGCATTTCCAGCCCTCAACCTTGAACGTTTTTTTTTTTCCAAGAGCTTGTGCAGCACATTTGGAAGCACCTGTGTATTGAAAATGTCTCTCTGTGAGAGGCCTTGCCGGTGCAGAATGTCCACATTGTGGCCCGCTGCTACAACTGTAATTGTTTAACCATTCACTGGGCTGCGTGCCGACAGATTCTTGATTTCGTTTGCTGGAAAGTGCTCTGCTGCAACTATCTGGCTGGAATATTTTACTGCTCGCTGAAGGAATGTTGGGAGATCTGAAATGTGACTTTGCCAAACACTTTACTGTGTGTGTGATTTTTGTTGATGTATCTGAGTGACATTATTGAATTTCTTCTGCAGCTCTCAGCACATGACACTTTGATCCTGTCCCAGCCCGTGTGCACACCTTTACCCCTCAGGTAAGTTGGACTTTGCAGTGCTTCTACACAAACTTCCTGCGCACACTGTTTACTTCGTTCTTTGTCATTTCCTTTCCATGATTTGATTCCTGAGCCGACTTGCAGGTCAAACCCTGACACTAAAAACAGCCTCGTGCGTCGCAGTTTCTCCCTTTTTCAGATGCTGCTTTGCACAATTTTGCATCGCAATTAAGTCAGCAACTGTCTGCCCTCTTTGTCCGTCTGAATGCAGCCTTACGTAACCTCGAAATCCCACAGAAACGGTGATTGGCAGGCTTTTGTTGACGCTAACACTTTGTGCTAATTCACATTCAGCTTCGTGTTTCCCATTGTTGTTGCCGCCTTTGTATTTGCGATTTACGAGGACTAGCCTCAGCCTTTGAGTCACGGCCATGAAGCCTCTCAGAATGATCGTATTAGGTGATGAAGCAGCATGTGGAAACTCGGGGAAAATGCATTAGTAAACCAAAACAATGGATCAAGTGGACGCTTAATGGGATAATATTTTAACAACGTTAGGTTTGCAGAGTTGAATCAACACAGATTTGTTATCGCACTTGCACTGTTATTAGATTGCTTTACATTTTAGGTTGTTGGCCTTATTTTGTCCGTCTTCTGTCACTTGATATATTTCAATAAGTTCCCGACACGATTGTTCAAATCCGTTTTAAACTGCTTGTACTTCTCCTTTTTTCTAACTCGCATCAGATCGAGTTACGAGCCCAGTTATCAGCCCCATCTGGCTCCTCTCATGCTTTGTGTTCCCTCCTCTTTGATTCCTGTTTTTCGTTCCTCGTCCCCGAACTCACCTGCTCATCCTCTGTTCTCTCTCTTTCTGTCTATCAGCGGGGCGGACTACGGCACTCTGCTGATGAACCTGGGCTCAGAAAACTGCGCCACGCTGCTGCACTTTGTCCTGCTGGAGAGCAAAATCCTGCTGCACTCGCTCCGGCCCGCCGTGCTCACCGGAGTGGCCGAGGCCGTGGTGGCTGTGAGTTGTAGTTTACTCGCTAGATTGAGTTTGCTGTTGAGTTTGTTTAATTTAGTTTATGTTGTAAGAAAAGACACACAAGACTAGCTTTGTAAAACCTCCTTGCACACAATAACATCCTCATATCTTTTTTTTAATAGCTGCCCTATATATTACCTCTATATAGAGCTTATAATAGTCCATTAACATCTCGGCCTTCACTGCACTGAGCACATTAGGAATTTATATACACACGTTTCCTGGAGCATTAAATTCAAAGCCCTGCTGACGTACAGTTAGTGCATGACCCAACTGTTTGCTTTAAGAGCAGCTTAATTCCAGGAAATAATAATTTTCCAACTCTTTTTAAGTATAATAATTATGACATCCTTCTCCGGCGCTGCAGAGGAAAAAAAATCATCCGCGTACGTACATAAAAACATTAATTATGAGATTACGGGAAGCGCAGCTTGTGATTTAATCATCCGGTTTCCCAGACAAGACATTTCTGTACAAGTTAAATAAGGGTGGAGATAATGTGGCCCCCTGCTGAACCCGATTACTCACATTTGAGGAGTAAAGTACGGCGCTAACTGTGATAAACGCGCACAAAGAGATACAGGGCACATGTAAATTCCTTTAACGCTGATTCGCCTTAAAAGCATTCCGGCGAGAGCGAACGCAGTGGAACTATAATTATCATGGCTAATAAGTTCATTTGCGTGACTTTTTATGAGCGTAAGTAACAGCCCTGAGTTCACAGTCGGGTAAAACGGTGTGATGTAAGAACTGTAAACGCGGGATCGACGTGGCTGGTTCTGCCTCACTTTTCATGCAGATTTCTTCACCTACAGACACTAAATCAGAAGTTATGATCACGATGTCCTCAGTGAATTCAACGTTGTTATCGAATCGACAACAGTGAGCTTTTTGCAGTGTGCACAGTTTAGCATACATACCTTTTATTATGCAGCAGTTAATCTGCACCACTTACACTGCTGGTGTTAGATGATAAAGTGACATTTATGGTTGTTGTTATTATTTCTGTGACACTTTGTGACAGTAAATGCAAAAGTATATTTATTATAAGCACAGATACAGGCTTGCATCCTGAATTTGGATGTACCCACGATATGTTACTGCACCTTTTTGCGCATTTTAACCAATTCCCATATAGAGAAATACTTTCCTAACGCATTAAAATAAATAATTGTAAACAGGAATAAAGGTGCAGATGAATGTTTTGTTCTTTTACATGAGGATGATCTGGAAGCTTTTCCTTCGATGTGTTATAAGCAGAGTCCTCGCTGCTGCTGTTTGCAGTTTTTTGCAGATAATGTGTTTTTTTTTTGTTTTTTTTTTTAATTTTAAAACTCTTATGTTAGCAGAATATGTTAGCACTTTGCTCTGACAGCAAAAGTGCTGCACCCCACCTCGCTTCGACGCACTCTTTAAAATAAATTCAATGTGTAGTGTTTTTCTGTAAGTTAATCATTTCTACATTTACATGCAGAAACTCGTGCAGTTTCCGAAGCTCCGATTTACAGACGTCCACTGAACGCCTCACAAGCATCGGCGGACGCTACGATTTATCGATATTGCGCAAACGCCTCACATGCTCCCAATGAAAACCACATCAAGCTCGTCCTGCTTTAACCGACAACATAATGACTTGACTGTGTCGCTCAGCTTCCAGGCAGGTTCAGTGTCACACAAACTCTGGATATTCACAGAAAGTTTCAACTGCCACAATAAGTTGTCTTGTTCCTCGAAATGTTCTACATTTTTCTCCTTTTTTTTCTGCATATGGGGGCATCTTTAGAAAAACTAATAATAATAATAATTTAAAAATACTGTGTCAAATATCTATACATAGCATAAATTGTCACTATTCTGAATGAGTGAGTTAATAAATCTACTTTATTAGGAGTCTTCTGCCATTACATCACAATATTCCATCTCAAATCCAGTGCTCCTGCTCAACATGCCGTCTGAATAATTTTTCCAGCCTTTTAAGCTAATTTGGTTGTTTATTCTCCAGCTCCATAAGCAGTATTGATCTCTTTGAATGTCACAAGATGTCTTAAAAATCCCCTAAATGCTTTTGAACTGTCACAGTTATTAGTTAAAATAAAGAAGAAGCTCCGTGTCTTGCAAATTACGCTGCTCAGATTTAATTTAAGGGTCTGATATTGACACGATATAGAGATAAAGTGTGAAAAACTTTATTTTCCAGATGGCGGCATGTGATTTTCACTCGAGGGTATCCTTCTAAAATTCCATTCTGAGACTTTAATACAATAGCATTTGAACTGTTTGCCTCCAGGGCTGGAATATAACGACTCTGTTCGTCGTCTAACAGGTTGTAGTGACCCCGATTCTCCGTCTCTCTTCAGATGATCTTCCCCTTGCAGTGGCAGTGTCCCTACATCCCCCTGTGTCCGCTCTCTCTGGCGGGCGTCCTCAACGCGCCGCTTCCATTCATAGTGGGGGTGGACTCACGCTACTTTGACCTTTACGACCCCCCGCCAGATGTAGTCTGCGTGGACCTGGACACCAACACCATCTACCTGTATGTAGCAATGCATTTGTCAAACCAACAGCTCTCCTGTTACTTCCAGCTCACTAACTCGGCGGTATTGTGTGTTCCAGGTCTGACGAGAAGAGACACAGCAACTGGAAGAACCTCCCCAAGAAGCCCTGCAAGAGTCTCATTAACTCGCTAAGCAACTTGCACCACCAGCTGGCCACCGGTACGAACCGCACCTCGCTTTCACCCTGAAGCAAAACCGCCTCCGTTTACCTGCTGATTAAAAGATGAACACGAACTCACAGGGAGGGGAAAACAGCCACAAGCAAAACGTTATCACAACATAATAAACTACATTTTATTACAGGAACCTTAAGTGTTTTCTGCCTGGTGGTAATATAGGGATAATAACAATAATAATAGTAATTCTATGGAAACAGCACAACTATGGATAGAAGAAGAAAGAACTGTTAGAATGCTGTAAATCATAAGAAAATGAAAGTTGAATGTCCTTTATTATTTATTTTACAAAACTTGAAAAAAACTTGGAATTAGCACGTACTACAAAAGTATCATACATGTTATCAGACTTTGAAAAAAAAATAAAAAGGCGACGACATACTAGAGATATTTTACTGCTTGCATTTTTAATTGACTGCCAGCCTGCAGTTCAGCTGAAAAGTCCCTGAATTTTTGTTGCGTGACTGTTTGTCACAGCTGAGTCAATAACAGATTTCCAGGTGGGTCAAGGGGTGCAGAATTTTTTGTATTTAACAGAATCAGGTTAAAGTGAATGTTGTTGTTTTTGGCTGAATTTTAAGTGAAACATGTAGAATAAATATAGTAAAATATAATGATTTTTAGCTTAGATTTGGTCAAGTTGCTCGACTGAACGTCAAATCATAGACGAGTAGTTCAAGGACTGTTGGAAAATTTAAGATCCAACAGTTTCTGGCTCTAATAAATGATGTCAGTTTGGAGATTTTTGTAAACACAGGACGCCTGTTAAACCCACCAACAGAATTTGGGATTCAGAGGGTTAAACGTATGGGATGATTCATCCAAATTGTTCAAACTGACGCTGGTCTGTGTTTTAGTTTCAGTCCGTCAAACAGCACAGGAGGGTTCGGCGGTGGACATGACGCCCATCGAGGCGGACTTCACCTGGCACAAGAAGAAGACGGCTCTGGAGATGGAAATCCAGGAGGCCTTCCTTCGCTTCATGGCCTCCATCATAAAGGGCTACCGCTCCTACCTCAAACCCATCACCCAGGCGCCCTCTGAGAAGGCCACGGCCGCAGACTCCCTCTACGACCTGCAAGGTGAACCGGGCGGCTCGTTTTTATTAAACGCATTAGAAGGTGCTGCATGACAACCAAAGTCAGGGCAGCTCAGGGTGATGGATTTGTTAATGGCTTCCATTTACAGCAGCCACAACTCCTGCATGCTTTTATTGGCAGCTGGTTTTCAAGGTGCAACTCATTTATTAATCAATAACAGTGTTTTTAGAAATCAATCATCTTTCTCATCAGCTGTGATAATTAATGCTTGTTGCTGGGAATTGGTTCTTGCTTCCATTTAGCGTCACGGTTATGGATCAGCTTTGAGATAAATAGAGTGAAGGACGTTTTTCAGCACCTTTCTAAACAGCTGCACATTGATTTATTGATAGAATAGAATAGAATAGAATGCCTTTATTGTCACTATACACAAGTACAATGAGATTAAGAGCAGCTCCTTCAGTGCCATACATAATAAGTACAAAATAAAGAGCAAAAAATGAAATGAAAAAATGAAAAATAGAGGAGAATGATTGATTGATGAGGGTCACTTAGCGGTTTTAAATACATTGAGCACAAAAGGACGACAATCAAGAGCAGATGTTTTATATTTTTAACGAATAAAAGCAGTCAAATCCTGCGTATGACTGCAAAAATCAAGAACGAATCTCTTCCCTGCCTGTAGGTTTTCTCAAAAGCAGAGACCGAGCCCACCAGAAGTTCTACTCCCAGCTCACCAAGACCCAGATATTCATCCGCTTCATCGAGGAGTGCACCTTCGTCAGCGACAAGGACACCGGTTTGGCCTTTTTCGACGACTGCGTTGAGAAGGTGATTAGATCGGCAGCGTCAGGCCTTCCTCTGATGTGTGCAAACCGCACGCTGTTGTTTTGTTTTTTCTCTTCCACCGGAGGTTTCCTTCCAGGAACAAGGCTTTGTTTTTACGCTGGTTTATTGGCGAAATAACATTTGTACGCTGGGAGACTAAGGAAGCTAAAATTTCCTCTGATTCATTCTGTTCCCTTTGCTCTCTTTCCTCCTCATGCAGCTTTTTCCCTCTGATAAAATCACCGACAAGGGCACCAAGGTAATTGCTTACACTGTAATCTGATTTCCTCGCACCTTGTTTTTTTTTTTTCATATTTGCTACTAACAAAAAGATAAATACATTTTAATTTTCTGCCGTTGATGAATGTTTTCAGCGAGGGGGCGTGGACATTTCCTGCTTTTCTTCTATCCTAAAATCTAACCTCAATCAAACAAGCATGTTGAACTGCCTGACTGGAATGTACTTGCAGTTGAGTGTTTTTTGTTCCAGCAGCTCAACTCTGTGAGTGTGAACTTTGCTGCAGGTCGAAGGAGAGTCATCCGAGGACACGCGACTGCTGGAGCTGGACGAGTCTCAAAAGAGTGAGCACACTGTCTTCGTCATGCCTCCCGAGCCTCCGCCTAACGACGGGCCCGAGCCGGCTCCTCGATACACGTAAGTCCTCGCTTCGTCGAAAGGAAAACAACATCTTAGTGCTCACTTGACCTTCGACAACAACCTTGCTTTGTGCTCTCCAGATATAAAGGCTTCCCCAGGCTGCAGATGAGTCTGTTCGACCGTCCCAGAGTGTTGCGTCCAGCGCTTAACAGCAGAGCGACGTGGGACAGTTTGTCCAACAGCCCTGCACTGCTGGCTAAGAGAACAAAGCAGGTCAGCACAAACTCACACACACCTCAGTGTTTTGGGAACCTTAACCAGCATTAAAAATGAACTTAATCATCAACCCTCATCCACTGTCATGTTAAAATGTTGCTTTAAATCCTTGATCCAACAGGAGATCAAGCTGGCGTACAAGATGGCGAAGCGTTTCTACTCCAACCCGCCGCTGTGGGCCCGCTGCCTGTTCAGCCACTGCTACAGCATGTGGTTCATCTGCCTGCCGGCAGCGGTGCGGCTCGCCAAGTCGAAGAGCCGCGCCATGCAGCAGGCGTACAACGTCCTGTTAAAGATGAGGACCACCGAGGTGGAGGTGCTGGATGAGGTGCGGTCAGGATATGAGTGGAAATGAGCGGGTCATCCGGTTTGGTGGTGTTTTGATCGTGACTAAATGATGAGTCGTGTTTTCTGGCTGTCAGGTGTGTTACAGAGTGGTGATGCAGCTCTGTGGTGTGTGGGGTCTTCCTGTCATGGCCGTGCGAGTCCTGGTTGAGATGAAGAAAGCTGGAGTCCATCCCAACGCCATCACATACGGATACTACAACAAGGTCATAGATGTGGCCGAGCACTTTAAACCTCCAAACTCCAGCAGTTTCTGGGCATTTTATTTGGTTCTTTTCACGCTTGCACTCATTTTTTACTGCAACATAAAGTCCTGCCCCTCTATGGAAACAGAACAACCATGTTTAGAAGAAGAGGGTACTTCACAGTTAGAATGGCATAAATTATAAATATGAAAAAAACAAAAGTTGAATTTCTTTTTTTGTTGTTTTCCAAAAATCATAAAAAAACTGGACTCAACTTAGAATATTTTTCCAACTGTCCACAGGTGCTACCAACACTGAGAAAAAATTTTATAGATATTTTCCTGTTTACATTTAAATTTGTTTCCATGCTTGTCTAATATCTGCTTCGTGTAAACACAGCCTGCATTTCAGACAAAAAAAAAAAAGTCCCAGAATTTTGGTCACATGACTGTAGGTTGAAGCTATGTTAGGATTTGCTTCACAGTTGGGCCAAGAAGCTCAGAATTTTTACTTTTTTACAGAATCTGATCCCTGCAAAATGTTTATTTTTGGCATATTTTCAACTGAGACAAGTGGTTTTGCTGAAATATCCCAGTTTTAAGCTTAGATGTGGTTGTTTTTTTCCTGATAAAACACAAGTAGCACATGATTAGTTCAATTTGGTTTGATTTTACAGCTTCTGGTTTTAATTAATGTGATGTAATTTTTGGCGATTAAAAAAATCAAACTAGTAATATGCCATTCAAACCCCCTGGTGGACTTTTGGGATTCAGAGGTTTATTTTTCTCTTGTGTGTATAATTTAAAAACTGAGATATTTTGGTCTTACTGATGCACTGGTTCATCTAATTTCCTAAACACTTGCACCAATAATATACCCTCATCCTTGACTCTTCTCTCTGCAGGCCGTCCTAGAAAGCCCGTGGCCCAGCCGAAACCGTAGCGGCCTCTTTATGTGGACCAAGTTGCGAAATGTGCTTCGTGGTGTGACCCAGTTCAAACAGGCCTTAAACCGCACATCCTCCAAGACGGGATCCACACTAACCACCACAGGTAGCCATTGAATCGATTAAGAGCTGCCGTGTTTCCTCTCCTTCTGTTTCTTTGCTTCGCTACTCACGCTTCTCTTTCGGTGTCCGTCTGTAGCTGCATCAGTCGGAGGGTCAGCAGTCACTGATTCTGACCGTTTGAGTCACGGAAGTGCCGACAGCTCGAGTGAGGTCAACGGGGAGGAAAACGATGTGTTTGCTCAGAGCCACGACAAGGGAGACGCAGCAGGCAGCCACTGTAGCACAGGTACCGACTCCTAACAGCTGCTGGTCTCAGGCTGGAAAACATGAGAGAAAAAATCCTCTTTAAATGTTAATATATGAGCTGAAATTAATATGGTGGGTTTGTGTGATCTGCAGGGAGACAGTCTGATCAAGGCTACGGCTCTAAAGACGAGTTACACCAGGAGCTGGCAGAAGCTTCACACACAGCTGTTCCTTCAGCTGACGAGAGGAACAACCCCAAAGGCCAGCATAATGGTGAGAACAGTCAGGTCACGGTTATTTATACAGTGTAAAAAAATTAACATTTTTAACTCTTTTTTAATTTATTTTTTTAAACAATAAAATAGTTTACATTTTTATTGTATAAAAAATACACTTTTTTGTGTTAAACTCATCCAATATATATTTATATATAAATATTTGCCGTTATTTGAAAGAAATATTTCATTTATTTATGAAAAACAGTAATTTTAAAAAACTGTTTACAGCTTCTTGAATTTCAGATATTATCTCATAAAATTACAGAGAAAAACATTTAATCAATCACAATGTGTGACTGTAAAATTTTTAACAGATATTATTGTTAATGTTAAACTTTTTTTTTACAGTTTTTGGACATTACAGCATTCCACCACTTATCAACATATTTTTTTCTGCCACTCTTGCTGCAGATTTTTTTTTCCCCCAGGGTCTTTGTTTTTTCTTTTACAACAAATTTAAACAACACATCAAAGTGCTTTTCAGTAAAAATGTTTTTTTTTTTTAAAGTTAGCGCTATGAATTAACCTATAAAATTAAATTATAGAGGTTAAGACCCTGAAGTGTTGTTTATGCTGTGGATATACCTGAGAAAAGATTGTTTAAAATACAGGGGTTTTTTTTTGTTTTTTTTTATTTATTTTTTTAAAACAAAAATAAATATTAAGTTTCAGACCTGACAGTATTATTAATTATTGATGTTAGCCAGAAATTTAGAACTGAAGTTATGACCCTATAAATATGTACATAAAACCCAGCAAATCACATGAATGCTTTACCTTTAAAAAGACCTTGAAAGTTAAAAGGTTGCATCATTAGAGCGATGATTATGTGTGTAGCTTTGGTTCTGATCATTTAAGTGTAGTTCCGGCTAAAACGAAAACAGAATTAGTTATGTATAAAGTTATGAACATCCAGCCTCATGTGCTGCTGTTTAAGGTTGTGCGTGCACCGTGACTCCTGTTATTTCGGTGCTAGCTTCCTACATGCGTTCCTTTTTTAACCAGGCGGTGACATTGCTGGCTCAGTGGACAGTGCAGTGGCAGTGGCAGAACCTCCCAGTCCAGTCGATGTGCCCTCACCAGTCCCCAGTATTGTCAAACTGTCCACAGGGAGCTTCGACGCTGGCAGGGAAACAGGTGAGCAAGAACATGACCTCTGAAGGTCTCATCTTTTAGTGTGGAAAGATCAGTTAAGTTTGCAATCCCAGCAGCTTAGACTGTATCTGTGTATCTTCTGCAGGTACGGGGAAGCTGTTCAGGAGACACAGCAGCAAGACTGATCATGTGTCTCCACCTGATGAAGATGCCTCCCGTCAATCAGAGGGTGTAGCTAAACCGTCTCAGCAGCAGCGGCAGAAGTCCTTTTCTGAGCGCAGCTGCAGCTTCAGCGCTGAGACTCGCGCTGGGATGCGTTTGGAGAGAGACGTGGACCACATGGCCAGCCAGATGGGCGCCGACGCTCGGATCCTGGCTGCAGCGCTCTCCGGAGGCCAGAGTCCTCCTCCAAACAGTGTGTCCAAAGCTCTGTTTAAAGACCTGGAGGAAGAGCCTGAGGATGATCAGGGCTTGACTCTTCGGACGCTGGAAGACAGCCGAGGAGCGCCGGAGGAAAGGAAGGGAGATGATAAGGAGGTGAAGGGGACCGAGGTGGACGGGGAGAATCGACAGAGGAAGCTCACCGAAACACAGGATGACGAGTCCGGAGCGCGAGGAGCGACCTTGGAGAGGGCAGACGTCGAGGCAGGCGCTGATCCACTTTCCCTCCTGGTGTCGGAGAGCGAGGAGTCGGCCTCCGTCACCAGCCAGGAGCTGCCGCGGCCCGTCCCAGCTGTGGTGTCCCGGAACCTGGCTGAGGAGATCGAAATGTACATGAGCCTGAGGAGCCCGCTGGGCGCCAAGTCCTCCAGCATGGAGCTCCAGCAGTCCCAGGGAGACTCCACTGACGCCCCCCAGCCCAAACAGCCCATAGAGCGGAGGTCCAGCCTCCCGGTGCCTCCTGTCAAAACGCCGACCGGCTCACCAGGCGACACCCCCAAACGCAGCCCCAGCACCGTCACTCGATCCAAGACGTTTGCAGCAAAGACAAAGACACCTGGAAGCGCCGCAGCGAGTCCAGGGCCCAGGTCGGCCTCGCTGACGGCGCTGGTCAAGTCCTCGCAGGGAGGCTCACTGGGCTCCGTCATCAACTCCATCTCAGGCATCAAGATGGACACCCTGTTGTCGGGGCCTAAAATCGATGTGCTCAAGTCGAGCATGAAGCAGGCGGCAAATGTAGCCAGCAAGATGTGGGGGGCCGTGGCATCAGCCTACAACTACTCAGATGACGAGGTGAGTGTTACAAGAGGATGGTTCCACATATTTTAATGCTCGTCAGACCTGATAAATCCCTGATACCACTGCTTCCAGCTCATCTGCTGCTTTACTTTGACTGATTCATTTTTCGTCAGTGTAGAACGATTTTGCCTTAATTCCTTCTGACTCTTCTCTGCAGGATGAACAAGCGCAGGCCGGTGGCGGCTTCCCATCCCATCTGGATGAAAACATGCTGTCTGCACACGACTTGGATGAGAGTCCAGAGAGAAGAACCATCCCCGGGTTGGTGGCCAACGGTCTGAACCAGAGCTGCACCAGTCTGGGCAGCAGCAGTGGCAGCAGTGACATCGGCCGAGGGACCCACCAGACACGTAAGTGCTACACCTGCTGCTGTACATAAATCAGGAACATTAAAGGAAAGAAAAGCTGAGTTCTTTCAGAGGTCAGGATTGATTTTCTCTCCGTCTGCAGATCCAACTCCAGGGCGAGCAGGCAGGGGTCCAGACTCTGAGCAGAGCTCCTCGCATCACGCGTCCTCCTCCAGCATCTACCAGAACTGTGCACTGGAGGTCAGACTTACTGTAAAAACACAAACTCCCTCTTTGCTGCTGCAGACGTGTAAACTGGACTAACTCGACTGTACACAACAGGTGCTGATGTCCAGCTGCTCCCAGTGCCGCTCCTGTGAAGCTCTGGTGTACGACGAGGAGATCATGGCAGGCTGGACAGCCGACGACTCCAACCTCAACACCAACTGTCCTTTCTGTCGCACAGCCTTCCTGCCCTTACTGCACATCGAGTTTCATGACTTGCGCACGATGACCGGGTATGAATCTGTTTGCAGCGACCACACAAACACACTAAATGACTCTTCTTCTGACTAATCTGTGATTTCCTTTCAGGTTCTTTATGAACCCCAGTGCCTCAGGAGACAGCATCCACAGCACCAGTACTCAGCCCACAGCGAGCAGCTCAGCGGACATTAAAACACCAGACCTGATCAGTTTTCCTGAGGAGGAACCGAGGGAGACTCTGGATAATCGTACTGCGACACACAAGAGGTACAGCTTTACCTGCATGTGCCACAACTCTCCAGGGATTTATTCACAAGGTATTAAAACCTACCCATTGTTGTGTTTCCAGTCTGATTCCAGAGCCGGTGCAGTCGGACCCCCTGGGTCTCCTGGAGCACCAGGCAGCAGGGAAGCAGCAGAGGTGTAGTGGGACTTCACTGACTCGCAGCAACAGCGTTGGAGGACCGCTGCAGAGCCTGGACTACTCCCAGAGACCTGGACACGGTGTCTCCACCACCAGCCTGCCCTGCAGCCTGCAGGAGGTGTCGGTCCGTGTCCCAAACCGAACCTGTCACTAAATACAGCACCTGTACCTGCAGTGCAGTGGGATTAATTGGTGGATTATTGTGTGTTTTTCAGGATGGCATGGGAGCAAAACGACCAAATCCCAAGCCGGTGTCAGTACCGTACCTCAGCCCGTTGGTCCTGCGCAAGGAGCTGGAGACGCTGCTGGAGAATGAGGGCGATCAGGTAAACTTCTCCATCAGCTCTTTCACACACTGACGGCTTCATCAGGCCGTTAAAGTGGCGGCATTCTGACATCCAGACAAAGGTCACGTTTCCATTAATGTTTCTCACATCATGTTTATTATTAAGGACAGTTTGGTTTGTAGCCTAAAAGATTTAAAATTGTAGAACAAAATGAGTGAGAACAGTGTGTTGGGATTGTTCTGACATGAACTGATCATGGGTGATGTTTTTGGACAAATATTGGTGCTGAAACAGAGAAAAAAAAAAGCCTCAGCAAAAGCATTTCTCACAACTCAAGTACTATTGCTTGTGCACATCTATATATTCTGTTGTCTAAAGTAAGTCTAACTTCTGGGCTTTTATCTCTCCAGGTGATCTACACCCACAAGTTCCTGAGCCAGCACCCCATCATATTCTGGAATCTGGTTTGGTATTTCCGCCGCCTGGACCTGCCGACTCACCTGCCTGGACTCATCCTTACATCTGAGCACTGCAACAATGGAGTGCAGGTCAGACACCAAACAAATCATCTGTTTCTGTTGTTTCTGTTATTGTGGCTTCCTGTCCTCTTTCTTCTCAGTCTTAGTCGTATATTTTCTTTTCCACACTCTGTCAGTTCGATTCATGTCGGTTTATATTTGCAGCTGCCCCTGACGTCGCTGTCGCAGGACAGCAAGCAGGTTTACGTACAGCTGCTGTGGGACAACGTCAACCTGCACCAGGAGCCCGGAGACCCGCTTTACCAGCTCTGGAGGACCTTTAGTGAGTGTTCAGTGGCTGAATTTTCATAACGTCTTAAATAAGAAGACATGTGCAGCCATTCAGTGTTGCTGCAGCATCTTTTAAATGATCTGGATGAGGAGTTTTTGGTTGTAGAAGACCACAACTTCCACTAGAGGGCACCAAAGACAGTCATTTAAATCCTACAAATGGTGGCTTTAATGTATATTATCCAATACTAGAACTAATTTTGTTTAAATAGACAAGATTATTTCAGCTAACTTGTGAAAGAAGTACTTGTTATGGTCACTGTTGCTGGTCAGACTTGGGTTTTATCACTAAAACTATGGAAGACATCAACAGAGGTCCTGATGCTGCATGTATGTTGTGTCTTCCTCCCAGTGGAGAAAAAGGGGACTCTGGCTCCGACGGACCACCAGGAGGTCCGAACCCTCCTCAACACGATTGTTCGCAACATCCAGACCAACGACGTCTACGGTCCCATCAACCTGCTGATCCGAGAGATCAAGCGGCGTCCAGACGGGGTCAAACGACAGAGGTCAGAGCACTTTCTGTTCCCTTTTGTTTAAAAAAAAAAAATGTTGCAGCACATTTAAAGCGTCAATGAAAATGTTTCTCATTTCTCTGCTCTGACTTGCTCTCAGGAGCATCTATAGAGAAATCCTGTTTCTTTCGCTGGTGGCCTTGGGACGGGAGAACATAGACGTAGGTGAGTGGATGGTTGAAAGGAAAATCAAACAGCGTCTTGCATCTTTGAAGGGAAGCCGAAGGTTGTGAAAAAGACTGAAATGTTCCCTAAACTGTATCAGGTTGAGTCTGCGCTTGTTCATTTGCACGTTTTTTATTTTGTTGTTGTTGGTGTCCTCACGTTTGCTCTCTTTTTCGACTACAGAGGCCTTCGACAGGGAGTACCGCCTGGCCTACGACGAGCTGAGCGCCGAGCAGCTCAAGTCTTTGCACCGCATCGACCGGCCGCTGAGCCCGAGCGTCCAGTGGTGCCTTAAATGCTTCGGAGCCCCTTTCATCTGAACGCAAAGCCTGACCAGAGACGGCATCGTTTAGAGTTTAAACACCTCCAACCGCCCAAACATGGTACTACTTCTTCTTCCTCTTTGCCTCGGAAGATGCCCGTTGTCTGCTTCTCTTCTTTATTTTTCTACTACCTTTAAACGCTTCTGAGAGGTTTCCCAAGCAGCTGCCTACAGGTGGGACTGGTTTTGTGAACTGCTTGGACTCTTTGGGGACGAGTTGAGCTGACTTTCCTTACAGATGGTCTATAGAGCGATAAATCACTGTACAGAATGTATTGACTGCCCTCGTGTGAGTGTGTGTAGAAGCAGACTGTTTCTTGCTTTTGCTTAGAGATCAGTTGTTTGAACAGTGTACAGACTCTTTGTGCACTTTCCAAAAAACAAAAACAACAGCAACTTGAGTCCACCTGTCTTTTTGTACATATTTTTTCACTTTTGGGGGAATTCTAAAAACCAGGGTTGCCTCTTTTTTTTTTTTTTTTTTTCCTCCAGGCGACACGTCTCGATGAATTGTCCGATTCTTAACGAATGTTCAGGTTGTTTAAATGTACAGGCTCTCCGTCTGCGGCAGCACACGTGCAGACGGGGAGCGGACCGGCGGACAATCACTAATTATCAGTCACTAACGATGATTCACAACATTCCAGACGCTCTGCTCTCACAGCGGGCCTCACACCAACGCCGACACTCAGCCGATTTTTAGAAGCAGGTATCGTCAAACGGCAAAGATTAAAAAAGGTGTGCCACACTACTGATTCCCACACATGAAAACCAGACACACCGATGCAGTCCAGCTTGTGTTTTTAATATCCGCGTTGTTTTAACAGTCTCGTGCTGTTGTCATTCAGCGAAGATGCCTTATTGTTATGATGAGCTGGAGCTGTAATTCACACGTGCTTAGAATGAACCGCTAAGGCGTTTTACAGTAGATGTATTACTTGCTGACCGGATCGTGGTTCACACAGTAGCTTTGATTAATAACGCAAAAGGGCTTCTTCAGGACTGCCGACACTGTGTCGAGAAAGACAGACTTTGACGTGACATTCCACTTAAATGCGGAAAAAAAAAAAACAGCTCGACGAATCGCTGGGAAACGGGTTTCGATGGGTTTGTTTGGGAGAGTGACTTGTACAGATGAGATGATGTAAAATATTCCGTTTGCACTGCATAGATTGACCTTAAACCAGGGTGAGAATAAGATTAAAAAGAAAAAAAAAAAAGATAGAATATTAACAACACACACCAGGTTTGTCCTCCAAAACAACAAAGAAATTCTCAATTATTTATTTTTGTATTATTGATATTTGGATTGCAGTCAATGTGCTAATCTAGGATTTTTATGACTAACACCTCCCCTTCCTTTCCCTTTTAATCTGTCTGAAGGGATTCCACCCTGTACTGACTTTGTAAATTTGATCTCCTTATGGCAGAGGATGTACAGAAAAGACTTTTTTTTTTTTTAATAAAAAAAAAAAGAAAAATAGTAGAATAAATGATCTCTTTACCGTCCTGTGGAAAGGAAATGAATGTCTACACTTAAGTGCGCTGCAATAAATGAGTTTGTGAATTGATTAAAAACGAAATGAGTCTGTTTTTTTCTTTGTGTGTGTCGATAACAGTTTGTGTTTTCAGTGTCAGATGTGAAAATCTGCCTTGTTTATATGTAAACCTCCATTGTATGAATACGGAGCCGCGTAAAGGTCACAGCAGGAGTTTGTTTAAGGACAACCTTTGTTTTGTCTTGCATTACCTTTGTGTTTCCTCACAACAACCGTCCCATTTAGTTCAGCATAGTTATAATGTTATGCCAGTTTAAAGGAAACACAGAATATGAAGCATATTGTGAGGAACAGCAGAATTTTTTTTTCCCCCAGGATGTGCAAATGTGTTGTGAGATGATTGTTCCAAGGAAACACAAATATATCGCAACTTAAAGCAAAGGTTTTTGTGAATGAATACATCCCAAATTTTACAAATGTGTTGCGAGGGAATGCAAAAGTTATTGTGAGGGAACGCAGACGTGTGCAAGGAAGTGCAAAAGTTGTTGCCAGTGAAAACAAATGTGTTGCAAGGTAATGCAAAAGCTGTTACGAAGGAATGTAGAAATGTTGCGAGGAAACGAAAGTTATTGTGAAAGAAGACAACGTTATGCAAACATTATTGTGGGGGAACACAGAAGTTGCAACGAGGAAAGGAAATATGTGAAGGGAAAGAAAAAACGTTGTAAAGGACTGCAGAAGTCTTGTGAGGAAACATGAATGTGTTGTAAAGGAAAAGTTATTAGTTCATGCAAAACTTGTGAGGGAACACAAAAGTGTTGAGGGAACAAAGAAACAAAAGTTGTAAGAAGGAAACAGAAACGTCGCACGGTAACAGAAGTTATTATGAGGGTGTGGTGCAAGAGAATTTACTACATTTTGTAGGGGAACGCAAAAAAATTTTTAGGGAACGCAAAAGTGTTGCAAGGTAATGCAGAACTTGTTGCGAGGGAACAGAAATGTGTTGCGAGGAATGCAGGAATATTGCAAGATAAACCGGTTTTTGCAAAGGAACTCAAATGTGTTGTGAGGGAATGCAAAAGTTATTGTGTAGGAATGTAAATGTGGACGAGGAAACACAAAAAGTTGTTGCAAAGAAAAGAATCAGGTGAGGGAGCACCAAAGTGTTGTGAAGGAATGCAAAAATTGTTGCAACACAACATGAACGTGTTGAGGGAACAAGGAAATGCATCATTTGTAACTGAGGAACACAGAAATGTTGCAGGGTAGCAAAAGTTATTGCGACAGAACTCCAGTGTGGTACGAGACAATTTACTAAATTTTGTCAGGGAACGCAAATGTGTGAAAGGAAAAATTGGTGAGGTAGCACCAAACTTGTTGGGAGGGAATGGAAACGCATTGCAGGAACACAGAAATGGTGCAGGGTATCCCAGATTTTGTGAAGGAACTGAAATGTTTTGTGAGGGAATGCAAAAATTTGGTGAGGAAACATGTTTTTTTTGCAAAGAATCACAGAAGTCTGGTGAGGGAACACAGAAGGTGTTGCAAGGTAACACAAAAAGTTATGTGAGGGAGGAATTTTTTTTTTCAGTGTGTTTGACAATATCCATACTATTATCACTGACACAGTTTAAATAAATGAAAACCGAGTTATTTTTTTAAACAAACAAAAAACGCATGCGCAGTTCAAATATCATTTTGCTACTAAGCAGCACACTTAAAATTATTTTCAAAAAATTATTCCACATTTTTTTCTCTTCGAGGCAGGCAGTTTTACAGACAACAGGGAGGTCAAAGTTCATTTTTTTCTTCAACAAGATAAAACTTTTTTTTTTTTTTTTTTTTACGTCAACACATGAAAGTCGAACCGTATCCTTCCGCCGAGCAGCGCCGCTCCACAACCAGCGCATGGATACGTTAATTAGCGGCGCTGCGGCTTCAGGTGCGCTCGTAGCCGGACTAGATTTCCGGTGTGCAGGTGGACGTGGAGCAGCGAGATGCCGCTGAAGAGAGCCAGGACCGCGGCGAGCGGAGCCACCAAGGAGCAGCTGGGCCGGGACATGCGGCAGAGCAGGCTGGCTCTGTTCATCCAGCAGGTGGAGAAAGAAGGTTTGGACCCTCAGAAACTAAGGTTTGAACTTTTAAATCCGCCATGTTTGTTTGTTTTTAATAAAAGCGTTTCTTCACAGCTCAGGAGCGCATGAACGAGCTGGAGGCCAAAATGGAGAATATGTTCGCGACGGTGAACAAAGTGTTCAAAGTGGAGCTGATGAAGATGCCTCCGTCTCTGCAGAACACGCTCATAGGAGAGTTAATCAGCGGTGAGACGGAATTAGTTAATAATTAACCCTCTGCTCAGGCTAGGAGGAGAGCTAAATGATTATTTTAATTATATTTTTCTCTGGTAGAAGAAGAAATCTCAGCCAGTGATGTTTCCATCGCCATGAAGGTGAGTTTAGAGCTTTTTTTTCCTCTTATTTTTTAAAATATTATTATCATAGTTATTATTATAACGGTGATCATTTCCATCTTTTACAGAGTGAATCTCGCGAGATACCGCAGCCACTCAGGAGGATACGCAGCAAAAGATGTACAATATTTTTTTTAAAAAATCAATATGCCCATTAATTTACCCTGTTTTTTTTTTTTTAATTCACTACATAAAATATTTTTAAATTGTAATTTCTGCAGTAAAATCCGCTGATTCTCCGCCCATCCAGTGCACCCCAGTCCAGAGATGCTCCTCCAAAACTTCCAAGGTTGGTGATGTTTGCACCACAGACTGTGTAAAAGTTATACAGTCTGTGGTTTGCACAAGCTTTCCAGTGTCAGAAAAGCAAAAACAGTTACCTGTAATAAGTCCAGCTGCATTTCTGACACCCTTGTTTTTCATTACACAAAAAAAGGCTTTTCTAATCCACAGACTATGTAAAAAAAAGAACTATGTGCAGTTATTAGTGGAATAAATGTTTAAATACTTAAATTGTTGGTTAGAAAGTACAATTTGGGTGGAACTCGCCTTCAAAACTGTAGAAGCCATTTTATAATGGTCTTTATTAAGTTCAGTTTTACAGTGAAATTGAGTTTCATTTTATTTAAGCAAACCGTAAATTATGAATTGCATTATGTTAGGAATATTAAGGAAGGAAAACAATTTATTTTTTCTCTAAGTCTGAATTTATCTTAGTAATATTTGGTTATGGGTGGAGTATCTAATTATATTGCCGTGGACACAGGTGGGATGGGGTGGCCCTTTTGTTCTGTGAAGGTGAAGAAGAGCGTCACGGCAAATGTTTTTTGACCGTTTAATTTTTTAATCCTGAATTATGACTTTGGACTTTTTGTTGTCATGGATTCGCATCACCTATGGAAATTGTGGAACAAATGTGAAAATAAAGGAACTCTAAGAACGGATCCGTGAGTACTTAAAGTTGTTTTCATATTGTGGACTGTGGATACGCGTCAAAATTAAGAGACTGCTCCCATCACCTAAGTGACAATTTTTATCTTCTGGGGAAATTGTCACTACAAAAACTATACATACTTGGAAAGAAAATAGCATTTTGGGTTTCAGCACACCTTTAGAACCACAACTTTTTGGACACAAAGTGGTATTTTTGGGTGGAATAAACCTTTAAAACCACAAATTGTTGGACAGAAAGCAGCAGCAACAGAGAGAGGGACACACTGATCCTTTATCCAGAGTTGTCATCTCTTACAACACCCCGTAAATATCAGAATGTATGAAAGCCCGTCTTTATGGGGGGAAAGTATTATTAAAAAGTCAGTATAATTAAAATGCTTAATGTCCATGTCAGATAAAAAGATATGCCTACTTAATGTATGTGTTTAGCCTTATAGCAATGTTCTTAAACCATGATTATGAACCAGAGCACATCCATGCTGTTACAAAAAACAACAAATGACCTTCTGACGGACACAGAATGTTGTTGTTAAATGTTTGCTTCTCATTCATTTGTTTTCTTTCTTTCTAGGGAGGAAAAGCGACAAAGAGGACCAGAACACTAGTTGGCAGCAACAGCACCGGAAACCTCATGTGAGATTAGAATTTAAAGTTAAGCATAACAGCATAACATCTTCTCTGCTGAGCGTTTTGCACGTCTAGAACTTGTTTCTGTTGCTGCAGGGGATCTTCAGTCTCCACCAGCAGAACTCAAACCCGGCTGACGAGCCGCAAAACCACCGAGCAGACCAAAACTAAACTCAGGTGTGCTGCTGCTCGTGTCTCTTTAGATTCTTTTTATTGCTTTCTAAAGCTCTTTGTTCGTAATTATCAGATTTGCTTTTATCTTATGAACCCTGTGGAACCCTCAGGTCTTCTGATGGTGGCTTTTAAATTAAATATCAGTTATTATGGTCCATATTTCTGGAGCTGCCTTCCAGAGGGCAGCCGAGAATGTTTGATATTTCAAAAATCTAATCCTACGTTTTTAGTTTGGCTTTTGATTGATGCATTTAATTTTATTTATTTATTGCCATTACTATTTTTAAAAACTAATTTTCTGTATTGTTTTTTCTCTATTTATTCACTTATTTACATATTTTTGTCAATTTTAATCTAATTTATGACTAAATTTCTTCATTTTTTGGCTTATATTTAGTCCTTTTTTATCTGTATTTTATCACTTCCTCTTTCATTAGAACTTTAACTGATCTGGTTCTGTCGTTTCTTCATTGCATATTTATTCATGACAGTGTTTCCTCTGTTCTTCAGTGTTTTATTGAGCGTTTATTTATAACATGATGCCTAGTTTTCCATTTTATTGTTTGAAAAGTATGTTAATAAATCTGATCCAGTAGAAACATGTTGCACAGAGATAATGTTTGAGCCTCTGTAGGTATTTTTACACGTGACCGTCGCACATATTACGACCAGATCTGACTGACACCGAGTCCTGTGTTGTCTCAGGTCTGTCGTCTCTACCGGTGACCTGCACTGTTCGATGGCAGGAGCTGCTGCACACATCACTGTAACCACGGCACAGGGCCAGGTATGTGGGGCTTTTATTCTGGCAAGGTTATCGTTAAAGGAAGGAGCTCAAAGGTTGTGAATCCAGGCTTCTTAGTGTTTTAAATGTTGAATCTCTACATGCGTTTTACAAATCTGTTCTCTTCTTGGTAGGCGGTCAGCTTTTCTGAAGAGACCAAGAATGAAATCAACTGGGAGCTGCTGGACGACGTGGCCTGGTGCCAGATTCAGAAGCTCATGGTAACAGAAAGCTCGTCTTTACCTTTTTATTTATGGATCTGTTTGTTTCAGCATCACAAGAGAGGGCTTGGGAAAAAGCCTTGAGCACGGTCGATAATCCTTCATTATTTTGGATTTCCAGGGTCTGATGGATTATCTGTCTCAGCAGAGCCGCTGTCAGAGATGAGCAAAGATTCCCAAACATCCTCAGAAAGTTTCTGGATTTCATTTCATATTTGTTTTATGTTGTTTAATTTATAGAAGCTTTTATTTTTCTGAAGTATTTTTTTATAAGTTGGGTTTAACACTTAAAATGCCACATAAACGCAGTGTTAAGGGTTTCCGTTGTGTCTTGAGTTGTTTTAAAAATATAATAAAGCTTGTTTGTGCTATAATTGGTGGCTGTCGGTACAAAGTTACTCGTGTGGTAGTTTGCAAAAAAGTTATATTTGCTTTATTGTAATTTTATATATAAAAAAAAATGAAAAAGTAGCTGCTCAAGCACAAACAGTAACCACAACAACCCTCAGAGACCATAAAGAGAAATAAAACTACCTCAAAAACACCCACAGTTATGAAAATCACTCCAACTAATGCTGGATTCCTACAACAGCCTTAGCCTGAACTGAAAGATGTTGAAGCTTTTTAGTATCAGGCACAACTGATGGTTTTGTTCTGTGTATCCAGGCTGATGACAACCGACGCTGCATCTCAGACAACATCAGGACAAACAAACTGGCATGTCTGACTTTTTTTTATTACCTTCTCTCCTTTAATGTGGCATCATCAATTTGACCAAGAGGAACTAAATGTGCACACAACATGGATGGGCTGAAGGTCCTCTTCACCTCCTCTTTCTTGTTTAGGCTTCTGTAAACACAGCCAGTTTCAGGTTGTTTCTGATATTTGGCCCCTCCAACCTTTTAGTTGTGACTGTAAACTGTGGTCACCTGATCTGACACAGTCACCTTTTAATCACATTAAAATCTTGTTTGTGGCCTTTACATGTCTCATAATCTCACCATGGCTAAAAATGTCCGCCCAATGGTTGGCCCACTGCCATGTCCAGACGAACAGCATTTACTGTTTTATGAGAAGTTAAGAATATATCGACAATTAATCGGCAAAACTCCGGCCAATTATGAGTATTTTAAAAAGGGCTATAATCATCGGTCGAGCCCTAATGTTAACATCTGTAAAATGACTCTTAGTGTTCAAGAATGATGTTGTAATTTGAGTTTTTGGTTCTCTGTTGTTGGATTGAACTCTTCTCTCATCCCCAAATTTAGAGTTAATGTCCGTCACCACTTTGTAAGAATCTTTAAATGACTTAAAGCAAATTTCTTCCCCATCATGTTGAGAGAAAAAAAAGAAAAGACCCAGAAACGAGAAGTCAGTGTTCACAGGAGACTTTATGTAGAAATTCAACTGGCTCAAGTTTTGCCAGATTGGCTGGAAAATGTCTCAATTACAAAACAGTGCAAAGAATTGACAAATCTCACATTTTTTGTACTTGATGCAAGAAGATGAAGTAAAAACTGAATCCTGCTGCATTCAGCGTTAATTTAAAAAAAGAGTGAAATCGTTAAAATATAATAAAACTCTGAATATGAAGCTGGATCAGTGCTCCTCCTGCTCCTCCTGCGGGGGTCTCAGCGACTCCATCTCCACCTCCATGGGCTCCTCCCTGAGCGGCCGAGTGGAAGCAGAGCTGGAGGACGCGGTGGAGGTGGACGTTCGGGCGGGTGCGGGTTCGGGGCGGGGGTAGAAGGGACCCACCAGCCAGTTGAGCGGCGTGTTGTTGATCAGGTAATCCATCACGTTGTCCAGGGAGTCTTTAATTTTGCGTAGCTGGGCTTTGCTGCTGGACAACACGCTGTCCGGAAGGTCTCCCAGCACCTTGGCTTTGCGGAAGTTGCCGTAGACCTGCGCGGCGGAGTGTGTGAGGGAGAGCGCCTCCTGCTGGATGTTGTTGGGGAGACCCTGCAGGCCGGAGACCAGCACCAGGCAGGTGGTCTGGAGCTGCTGGGTGAGGGAATGTGCCAGGGCCAAGGTGCGAGACTCGATGACCTGAGAGGACGAGCAGAGTCAAACAAACCGTCCTGTATTTAAAAACTTGTACTCGGATAACGTTGTGAACCTCTTTACCTCTGCGTCCTGAACCTGCTCCTGACGGGAACTGTTGGGGTTCTTTCTGCGATATTCAATCTAGACAAAAAAGAAAAATATTTATTGTCAGTCCATAAGCTTCAAAAGAAATTGTGCTTTTAACGAGCCACGCTAGAGCAGAAGTTTCTGTAGCTAGAAGGCAGTTCTATGCAGATGTTCCTCATCGTAAAGCTGGTGTCGATGAGTAAGGAGACCTACCCGCTCAAAGGTGGAGTTGAGCTCAGAAATGAACTCCATGCTGCGCTGCTTGCCCTCCTGTATCCTGGCCACGGCTCTGGTGTACGCTCTCTTGCGGAGCTTGGTGGAGAGGCAGCCCAGGCGGACGTAGTAGCTCGGCTGCTTGGCGCCCTTCTCCGTTCTGGCCTCCATCTCTGTCACGAGGCAGGAAAACACGACACGCTCCGTTAAAGATGATGTCACCCGGCGTGTGAATGCCGGATCATGACTCTGTGAGCGACGCTTTCGGTCATGAAAATTGATTTAAGTTTTTATTTTACGAGTCTGGTGGTTTTCGTGTTTGTAACTTAAGTTTTATTGTGGATCTGTAGAGCTGATAATTCATCTTCAACACTGGATTTTGGATTTTAAGGAGGGAAAACCTAAAATATCCCTTCAAATATGAGGCTGGAATGACTTCCTGACTTTATCGGTGGTTCTTTTAGTCATGAAAAAGCTGATTTAAGGTTTGAACTTTCAAAGAACAAACGCGTGGACATTTGAGCTAAAACGAGCTGCAGCGTTTTGTATCTGAGCCTGAAAAATGTAGTTAATCCACGAAAACACACTCATTTAAACCGACAGTGTGCAGGATTGTTTGTTCTAAGCTTCTGCTCGGCTTAAACAACAGCTCCTTTTAATGAGACTGAAAAACAGACCACTGATGCAAGTTTACATTCCTAGATAGGCATGATCCGATAAGTGTTGTTTGCTGGAAGCGAACATCTTGAACAACAAACTCCAGCTGCCTGGTAATGAGCTGACCTTTGATGCAGCTTGTTATAGACGAACAAGCTTAAGCTCAGCAGCCTTTCTTATGTCTGTTTTGTTATTTGAAGGCTAAAGGAAATAATTTTTTAAAATAATAGTGCATCCTTATGATACAAATGCACTTGTAGATTTGATTTTACAGCATTCAGTAACATTCAGTAGCCTTCCGAGTAGTTCGATGAAACAAAGTTATTGACCCCACTCACCCAGTTCGCCCTCCGTCAGAGGCAAATACTGCTCCACCAGACTCTCGGAGGTGCTGAGGGCCGTGTCCACGCCGCTGCTCACCAGCTGGGCCACTTTGCTTTCCAGCACCGTGCTCACGCTCCCGCTGACCACGGCCCTGGTCTTCTCCACGCCGTCCTGCACCGCGCCCACCACGCTGGTCAGGGTGTCCGAGACGGTGCCCTTGGCGTCGGACACTCGGCCCGTCATGACATCCTTGGCGGTAGTTACCACATCCTTGGCGCTGGAAACGATCTGGGCGGAAGCAGATGCAATTTTTTTAAGTGATTACAGCAAAAAGTGTGAGTTAAGGAGTGGTGAGAGAACAGCTGTTGTGAAAGACGGGACAGAGGTCACGGGTGATATCTGCGGAGATTAGCTCACATCGGGGTTATGCAATGTGGCCTGTTGGTGAAAGCGGTGCATACCTGATCTGAGGGCTGGTGGAGAATCGGCAGAGTTTTCTCAATCTTGTCCAAACCCTTACAGGCCAGGTCGTTGGCAATGGCAACTGCAGGCAAAACATGAGAAAATTAGGCAACCCACAACAGAGAGGTAATTAAATTTACTCTGAAAATACTACAAAGAACAGAAAGTAAATGTCCCCAATTACACATCTAAGCCGTATTACCAGCTCTGTGGTTCATGTCTGGGTGATTTCACTAACTAGGTGAAAGATCAACATGACTAAGAGGCAGCAGCCTGACCTGAACTTCCTGTTTCAAGCTCTGCCTGCATGACTCAGCTGGTCAGAGTGCACTTATCCCGACAGTTTCACTATGACAGGATGTAGTTGGGACACAATCTAATCTTCAACACCACGTCTAGAAATATAAACCGGGCTCTTACGCTGAGGCTCCAGCTTGTCGATGATGGGCGAGGCGGTGGTGAGGGCCACGGAGGTGAGGGAGCGGACTCCGTGCTCGGCAGCCTCGCACACCGTCCTGATGTACGGGTGGTTGTCTTTGGTGTTGGAGTACAAGCTGGAAACCAGGTCGTAGGTGGAGATCACCAGAGGGAGGCTGGTCACCCGCTCCACCACACTCTGAGAGGAAACACAAAGACATACAGTACAGCTACAGTAAAGAAAAACAACCCTCTTATGACCACTTAGAGTATTCAAACTCACAGTTTAACTTGCTGTAAATGTGTTTTTGGACCAGGGTGTGTTTGAACTGATTTAAACTGAAGGCTACAAGCTTATAAAATGACTTTAATCGTCAATTATAGCCAAAAATCCCATAAGTTTCTATACATATAGATAACTCATATGCTAACTATTGTTGATTCTTCTCTTACAGTTTGACTTATACCAACAAAAATCCATTAATTTCTCTATCGAGATTACACACCTGCCAACTATTTTTGACTTTTCTTATACAGTTTGATAATTGGCAATAAAAAAAAAACATAGTTTTTATGTATAGATAACAAATACACAATTTTTTAATTTTATTTATTTTTTAAAGATTTTTTTAGACACTTTAATTATTTCCAAAAAAACATGTTTTTATATATATATATAAAGTTTGATTATTACTAAAAAATCCCACTAGTTTATATATATAGAAATATAAAACACATATGCTAATTATTTTAAATATTTTTTGACAGTTTCATTATTTAAAAAAAAAAAATCAGTTTTCTATATACAGAGAAAACATACAGTAATTATTTGTGATGGGGAAAACAATCCCATTATTTTTACTATAACAAAAGAGCACTTTCACCCAAACAGACTCTTTTTTGCTGCATTTTTTTTTATCAACAAATATCAACAAAATTCGCTAAAACTTCTTGTATAACTCACCTGATTTGAGATAACTTCAGCTGATGCCATTTCTGCTCAATAAAAACCTATAAAGAAAGAAAATAATGCGTTTCTGTTAAGGAAAACAATACATATATAGACTTTTTCTAACTAAACTCTCAGAAGTTGAGAGTAAATAAACAGAAAGAGTTACTTCCGCATTACAGTCGCTCGTTTTTAAAGCTGTATTATAATAAAAGCTCAAATTAGTTTTGTCACAGCTGCTGTAAAAGTCACACTGTTTAAAAAAAATACAAAATTAACCTGATTAAATGAAAACTTACCGAGTAATCCCACTGTCTCTACTCTGTCAACGAGCTGACTGATGCTGCGTCCAGAGCGCAGCAGCTGTTCTTATAGGCGGGAAGTATCGCGAGATTTGGGAAAGAGCGTTGACGTAAGCGCCAGCAACTTTTGTCGGTCAAAGGTTAAAGGGGTAAAAGTTTAGTCTGGTGGGGAATTCCTCTGAAATCAGCCCCAACAAGCAGTGACACACTTCAGCAGGCTGATTTCATACAGTTTCATAAGACTGTCACATTATTATTTTTCTGTTCAAAACAGAAAAAACAATATTTTCTTTATACTTTAAGTGAAAACATTTATTTTAAAATAACATTATCTGACATTAACTGTAGTCCTGAAATTATACGTGTATCTAATCTTCCCTCAATATCAATATAAACGTGTTCCTAATGCATAACATTTACTTTATTTCATATTTTGATTGGACTTTTTCTTTATTAGATTTTTTTTTTCCCCAGACAGTTTAATTATTGACGCTTAATTCTGAAATGATGGATCTTGGACAAACTGTTATTACAACATTATTACCACTGTACCATATTTAAATTCCTGACATAAAAATAATAACAAAATAAAATCACAAAGGGAGCCATAGCCGACGCTAACTAGCAATTCAAGCTAAGCTAATATAGCATCATGCTATTAGCTTAACATAAAGTCAGCTAGTTAGCATTTATAAACAGATGATAATGGGGTTTTTTTCCACTGTTGGTGAGGTGTTGTGTTACTGTTTTAGATATTGATGAGCATGATTTATAAGTACTCAAATCAGGCTACGATTACACTTATACATATCACAGATAAAGAAGGTTTATTATTATTATTGTTCAAACTAATACAAAGTCCTCCATATGACTCACATGTAAACAGAACAAAACAGTGTATATGTAACATATACTTATTTTTTTTCCTTGGTTTTCCTGCTGCACTAGTTGCATTCTTAGTGTTGTTCAGCTGAAGTTTTGTCTTTAAATTTAAACCTTTTTATTAACACACAGACATAAAATGTTAATCCACGTGTTAAATACACAGGAAGTGATGCCCCTTGTTTTTTCATCTTTAAATTTCATCATTGCATTTTGACAGTTTGTTGAACTCGTGGATAATTATGGACGATATGTGATATTTAAATGCCTCTACATCCAAAACACTCATGCAGCAAATGCAAAAAAATAGTTTTTCTGCAGGATAATAATAAAATAAATGCTACAGGATGTTTTACTAACATTGGCACTGAAGTAGATTTTGGATTTTTTACACAATAGGTCTTATTCAAGCATCCCTGTCAGTATGTTTTAATGTGCAGAGCTAATTACAACACAAACGTCATAGTTTATACATCCTGATGAAGCTGAACACTAATCGTCTCCCCAGTTCATTCTAATCCACTATTTACTCACAATGAAAGGAAGCCAGAGTCGGTGCACGTTTGTTTCCTTGCAATTTATAAGAAACTTTAGGTGAGTCCTTCAAATTAACACAAGAACCTTGACCCCCTCAGCACCCCTCCTAATTAATTTCTGATTATTCCCACGGCTTGAGCAGAGTAGCAGATAAACAGGCCCGTGTTTGCCAGTAGCTCATCGGAGCCAGATGTGCGGTTCTGGTTCTAATTCTGTGTTTCTCCCTCCATGTGTCAGCGCTTATTTCTATTTTTGCACGTGTTATTAAAAATGTGAATTAGGTGTTAATGCAGCGTCTCTGGATGCAGCACATTTGGAGGCCAGATGAGGAAACATGGGCTCGGTTCAGAGTCTCCAGTTGGCCCGCGCGCTGGGGTTCTGGATCGTGTGTGGATGAACCTCCCGGGTCCTGTTTATCAGCCTTTATGCAAGTCAGATAGGCCCCATATGGAAATGTTGGCCGCAGCAAACCGCAGACACAAAAGATTCAGTCTGAGGGAAGATGAAAGTTTGGAAATTAGTCATGATTCACTGAAGAACTGTAATAAAGAGTAAAACTGGTCCGTAGTGTTTCCACATCCAGTCAGATACCACGTCGGATTGGACTTCACCCAGATCGTATTATATTGTACACGTCATATTCTGCTCTGATCAACCTTTGAGTGATCTGATAGCAACAAAGTCCAACAACTGATGGAGAATTATACCAGGCTGAGATCATGACTCAACAGGGTGCTGTGATGAAATCGATCAGGCGTTCAGTTCTTCTGCTTAAAGGAATCCGTGCAGGCTCTGCTGGATGTCATGTTGGTCTATGAGGGGTTTCAGCAGCCAGTTTAAGTGAAGAAATG